CTAACCCTTCCAATATTTTATGTTGGTCATGAGAATTCTGTGTGCCAAGTTTGGTTCAATTCAATCACTGGTGGAGTTCAGAATGCTATTTGATTGTAGGTGAACTATAAATTCCAACTACAACTCCCAAATCTCAAGGTCTATTTTCCCCAAACTCCACCAGTGTTCACATTTCAGCATATTGAGTATCTGTTCCAAGTTTGGCCCAGATCCATCCAGTCCACAGTGCTCTCTGGATGTAGGTGAACCACAACTCCAAAACTCAAGGTCAATGCCCACCAAACCCTTCCAGTAATTTCTGTTGGTCATGGGAGTTCTGTGTGCTACATTTGGTTCAATTCAGTCGTTGGTGGAGTTCAGAATGCTATTTGAATGTAGGTGAACTATAAATCCCAGCAACTACAACTCCCAAATGTCAGGGTGTATTTTCCCCAAACGCCACCAATGTTCGCATTTGGGCATATTGAATTTTCATGACAAGTTTGGTCCACATCTATCATTGTTTGGGTCCACAGTGCTCTCTGGATGTAGATGAACTACAACTCCAAAATGCAAGGTCAATGCCCACCAAACCCTTTCAGTATTTTCTGTTGGTCATGGGAGTTCTGTTTACCAAGTTTGGTTCAATTCCATCGTTGGTGGAGTTCAGAATGGTCTTTGATTGTAGGTGAACTATAAATCCAAAATGACAAAATTAATCCACCTCCAACCCCATCAGTAATCAAATTTGCATGTATTGGGTATTTGTGCCAAATTTGGTCCAGCGAATGAAAATACATCCTGGATATCAGATATTTACATTACGATTCATAAGAGTAGAAAATTACAGTTATGAAGTAGCAATGAAAATAATTTCATGTTTGGGAGTCACCACAACATGAGGAACTGTATTTATAGGGTCGTGGCATTAGGAAGATAGAGAAATGGTTCTGGCCCAGACCACCTGTCCAAATGTATCTCCTGGTATGAACCATCACAAAACTTACGATCATCTGGAGAAGCCCTGCTCTCGACCCTACTGACATCACAAACGCAATTGGTGGGAACGAGGGACAGGGCCTTCTATTCAGTGGCCCCTTGCCTGTGGAATGCTCTCCCCAGAGACATCAGAATGGCCACCTCCTTCCTGACTTTTAAAAGAAAAATCAAGAACTGGCTTTGAGACCAAGCATTTTATTAGGGAGCAGCAAGTAAAAGAAGATGTTAACACTTATGGCAGTGATTTGACTGGATTTTAGACTCTGATTTTAATAGGTGTGTGTTAATCAATTGTTTTAATTATTGTTTTAATATTTTTAATATTTTAATGTATTGTTGATTGTTTTATTATGACACCATATGGTGTTTGTGAGGCTACCCTGAGTCCCCACTTGGGGATGAGAAAGGCAGGGTATAAATATAGGAAATAAATAAAACAAAACAAAACACTGTGCTAGAGCCTCTCCTTCCCCCTTCTTCTGCTCCTTTTTCCACTCTCTTCATACTATAAACAGAGCAGCATGCTTATACTCCTGGTGTTGTATTTCCCTGGAGCATGCGCAAGCAGGCATTCTCCAGGAGTGGTTCAATATCACTTGGCAAAAGAGATCAGTAGATTTTGGCTACAATGGGACACGGCAAACACCGGATCAGCTTTCTTCAAACACAACCATGATGCCCGGCCCAGCGTATTCGAAACGAGCAACTCCTTTTCAAGGAGAGTTTGATAGTGTGACAACACAACAAACAAGCCCTGAGAATAGAAACACCTCCTTTTTGACCCTCCGTTGGCTTCTCAACTTTACAAACTTTTTATTATTATTACTAGCCATCCCCTGCCGTGGCCCAGTCTGTGTATATGTGTGCTTGTGTATATATGTGGTTTTGCGCATGTGTTGTAATGCATTTTGGGGTTTTCTTTTGTTTTTTAAGTGTCTTCTGCTGTGTTTTTCAGTGTTTTTATGAGTGATGGTCACTCGTTGGCCTGATAGGTGTATTGTGTCCAAATGTGGTGTCAATTCATCCAGTGGTGTTTGAGTTACGTTAATCCCACAAACGAACATTACATTTTTATTTATATAGACTAGCCATTCCCTGCCACGCGTTGCTGTGGCCCAGTCTGATTATCTGAAAAATAAAGTCATGAGAAAGTGTTGGTTTCTAATGTATGTAATTTCTTTCTGCTTGTGGGTAAACAGTATTTCTTGCTGTTTCTCTGTCAATGTTGATGTGGAGAGTGTCTGGTTTACTCACCCTGGAATATACAACATATAATTGTCCTTCTTTAGGGGTCCCTTTCAAAGCTATGATACTATATCTGTGTGTGTGTGGGACTCATATCTATCATCTATCTATCTATCTATATCTATGGCTGGATGGCTCTTTGTCAGGAGGGCTTTGATTATGTTTTCTTGCCCTCATAAAGGGAGTTGGACCGGATGGCCTTAAGTATTTTCTGTTGGTCATGGGGGTTCTGTGTGGAACGTTTGCCCCAATTCTATCATTCATGGGATTCAGCATACTCTTTGATTGTAGGTGAACTATAAATCCCAGTAACTACAACTCCCAACTGTCAAGATCTATTTCCCCTAAACTCCATCTGTGTTCATATTTGGGAATATGGAATATTTGTGCCAAGTTTGGTCCAGATCCATCATTGTTTGAGTCCACAGTGCTCTCTGGATGTAGGTGAACTACAACTCCCAAACTCAAGGTCAATGCCCACCAAACCCTTTTAGTGTCTTCTGTTGGTCATGTGAGTTCTGTGTGCCAAGATTGGTTCAATTCCATCATTGGTGGAGTTCAGAATGCTCTTTGATTGTAGGTGAACTATAAATCTCAGCAACTACAACTCCCAAATGACAAACTCAATTTTTTGAGTGATGGACATACATTGGTTTGTTAGGTGTCTTGTGTCCAAATTTGGTGTCAATTCGTCCAGTGGTTTTTGAGTTATGTTAATCCCACAAACGAACACAACATTTTTATTTATATAGATTATTAAGGAATCCAATCGCTGGCTAATTCTATGGATCGCATCCTTTATGCATCAGCATTGTAGGCAGTGTCTCACCAAGAGGCCCCATCGGCTGGGCAAACAGAGCATAGGCAGGGCCGAGGGGAGGGAGCTGGCTGTGAAAGGGATCTTTATATCCATATATGAAGGGCCTGGTGCTAATAACCCAGTGTGCTGTTGACACAGCCGAATACAAACAGCCCAAGTCCCTTTCAGAATAGCATGAGTCACGGCTGTCCCTCCGAAGTTTGCATTTCCCTGTTCTTTCCTGGCTGTTTGGAGGAAAATGAGCCAGGGCTGAAACACACACATCCATACATGTAAATGTCCTTCCCTTCTTGCAAGCTACATGCACCTTGCTATCTTACAACAGTCATGGGGGGGAAAAATACAAAGCTAACCAATAGTACAACATTGGTGGATCATCCAAAGCTCTGTTTTCTTTGTGTTGGTCGAAATGGATGCACATAACTAGTTCCCATCTTTGAACTGATGCATTTACTTGGAAGCAAATCCAGCAGATTCCAAGAAAACTTCCATATAAGCATGCTTCATTCACTCCGAAGCTTTAGTTACTGTCTTTAGAGAAATGTGGTGGAATTTGGGGAAGGATTTGGATGCGGAGAGGCAGATAACAGAGGGGAGAGACACCAGAAATACATAATCCCTGAATGCGTTCTCTTATAACATAATAATCTCAATACACACAAACACCAAGACCAAAAACACACATGTTTCTCGATTGAAACAAGCCAGCGACAAAAAGGAGACATCAGTGGCATCTTTGGGATTGCGAATTCCCCAAATAGTTCAGCAAAACTGTCCATTGTTCCGGGTTTTTTTTTTTTCAAGAAAAGATAGAGAACGGCGTCTTTACAAACTGCACATGCCTCTCTTTGTTGTTATTGTTGTTGTCTGGGATACACACCATGCACACGCTTTCCCTTCATCAGCAATTCCCCCCACAACCAATGAAAGAGAGATGATTCTGCAAGTAGCACATTTTTGGGGAGGCGCGGATGTGTGTTTACAAAAGAAACTGTGAAATAATAAAGGGGGCATTATCCTCGCAAAGAGATGGAGAGAGCGAGAGAAAGAGAGGAGTAAATATCAGAGATGGGAAGGAAAGCAAAAGAAAATAGGAGGGAGGCTTGGGAACTGTACCGAGGGGACTTAGGAAAGTTTAGATTAAGAAAAGAAACAACTGTCCTATGCGTAAAGCCACCCCGAAGTTGGAAGGACCAAGTCCTGTGCCGCTTGGACCACAGATCATCCCCAGCGATGGAACAACGAAAGAAAGAGCAACCACTGAGATACACAAAGGGGATGGAGGGATAGAAGGAGATTTAGAAGGAGGAGGAGAAGAAGAAGGCAGAAAAAAAGGAGAAGGAAGAGAAGGAGGAGGAGAAGGAGGAGAAGGAGAAGAAAAAGAAGGAGATGGAGGAGAAGAAGTAGGAGAAGGAGAAGAAGTAGAAGAAGGAAGAGCAGGAGGAGCAGGAGAAGAAGGAGGAGGAGGAGGAGGAGGAAAAGAAAGAAGAGAAGAAGGAGGAAGAGAAGGAAGAGAAGGAGGAGGAGGAGGAGAAGGAGCAGGAGAAGAAGGGGGTTGGGCCATGAGGTCTCTTCCAACTCTTTGATTCTATGATTCTATGACTGATTCTATGAAAAAGAAGGAGGAGACGGAGGAGAAGAAGAAGAAGAAGTAGAAGAAGGAGGAGCAGGAGAAGAAGGAGAAGAAAAGAAGGAGAAGGAGCAGGAGGAGGAGAAGGAGGAGAAAGAGAAGCAGGAGAAGAAGGAGAAGAAGGAGGAGCAGGAGAAGAAGGAGAAGAAAAGAAGGAGGAGAAGGAGCAGGAGAAGGAGAAGGAGGAGAAAGAGAAGCAGGAGAAGAAGGAGAAGAATAAGAAGGAGGAGGAGAAGGAGAATAAAAGAAGGAGAAGGAGGGGGGAAAGAAGGAGGAGAAGGAGAGGGAGAAGGAGGAGGAGGAGGAAAAGAAGGTGGCCAAACTCACCTTGTTGTAGTTGTAGTAACCCAAACACTGGGCAAAGTCCAGGTTGGAAGGGTCTCCGGGTAGAGAGCTCCCCGACGAAGGTGGGTAAAACCTTACATCCATGTTGGAAGAAGGGATTGGGAGCTTTGGAGGAAAAGGATGGGATGGAGGAGGAGAGGAGGAGGATGAAGATGAAGGAGAGGAGGAGGAGGAGGGAAAGAGGGAGGGGGGCGATGAAGTTTTGGAGAGTCTTCCCAGTAAGATCCACCTTGATTTTCCCCAGCGATGGGAGGCTCAAGTTGTGCGCCTGGCTGAGAAAGGGAAGGAGACGAGGCTTCCTGGAGGACCAAGGAGGAGGGAGGGGGAGAAAGAAGGGATGAGGATGATGAGAGGGAGGGAAGGAAGGAGAGAGGGAGGGAGGGCAAGAGCGGCAGGTGAGGGAGGGACAGGTGAGGCGAGGCTCAGAGCGCAGCCGGCCGGCGACGCAAGGGAAAGCAAGCCTTCTTTTCTCTCCTTCTTTCTTTCTTTCTCTTTCTTTCTCTCTCTCTTTCTCTTTTGAATGCTTCCAGGACCAGCTGCACCGCACAAAGAAGCCACGCGCGGAGGAGAAAGGAGAAAGGAGGAAGAGGAGGAGGAGGAGGAGGAGGAAGGGAAGAAGCAGCAGCTCCAGCTCTCCCAAGCCCCCCACCGCCCTCCTCCGGAGAAAGGGACGGCCGCGGGGGCGCGCGCTCGTGCACGAGATCTCTTTCTCTTTCTCTCTCTCTCTCTCTCTCTTTCCAGGACCCCAACCCAGCCTGACCTCCCCTCTGGTGGAAGTCTGTGGAGGACAGGAAGGAAGGAAAGAAGGAGGGAAGGAAGGAAAGAAGGGAGAGAGGAAGGAAGGGCAACAGTAGCTCCTCAACTCCTTGTGAGAAGAAGGCTCAATGCCCCTCAAGGGAGGTCTTTGGGGGGCGTTTTGGTGCCTCTGAGAGGGGAAGACTTGCGAAGGAGGAGAAGGGAGAAAAAGTCTCTCTCTCCCTTTCTCATTCTTTCTGTTTTTCTCCCTTGGGAGAAGAGGGCTCAGTACCCCTCAAGGGAAGTATCAGGGGGGCATTTGGTACCTCTGAAGGGGGGAACAGGAAGACTTGAGGAGGAGGAGAAGGGAGAAAGAGTTTCTCTCTTTCTCTCTACCTCTCTCATTCTTTCTTTCTGTTTGTCTTGCTCTCTCTTGGGAGAAGAGGGCTCAGTGACCCTCAAAAGAAGTATCTGGGGCGGGGGGGGGCATTTGGTGCCTTTGGAGGGAACAGGGGAAAACTTGAGAGGGAGGAGAAGGGAGAAAGGGTCTCTCTTTTTTTCTTTCTCTCTCATTCACTCATTCTTTCTTCTGTTTGACTTTTTATCTCTTGGGAGAGGACCACTCGGTGCCCCTCAAGGGAAGTATCAGGGGGGCATTTGGTGACTCTGGGGGGGAGTACTTGGGGGTGGGGGGGGAAGAGTCTCTCTTTCTCTCCCTCTCTTTCTTTGGGAGAAGAGGGCTCAGTGCCCCTCAAGGGAAGTCTAGTGTGTGTGTCAAGTAGGCCTGGGTAACAACGGAAAAATTTGTTTCTAAAATCGATTCGTTTTTTGGGGGGTTTTGCGTTTCGATATTTAAAAGAATTCCAAAATTTTTCTTTTAAAAAGTTCGATATTTACGAAATTTCGTAAATGTAAAAAAAAAATACGAAACATAATGAATCGATTCGTTAATGGCGGACGCGACCGCGCAATACGCTAAAAAACCTCCAAATGGGACAGGCGGAACTTCTGAAGCTTCCCTCTCCCTCTGTTGTTGACTGTTGGTGTGATATTATAATTTTTTTCACTAATTAAACAAAAAACAACTATAAAACTTGCCCCAGACATGCGGAAATAATAACGAAACGACCTCAAACCGATAACGAAACGAATACATAACGAATCCGAAGCATTTACGAAACGAATTTAAAAATTCGTTTCGTTTTTAAGTTGCTCCAGAATGGTTCGTTATCGCTTCGTTATAAAAAAAATAACAAATTTTTAACGAATTACGAATTAACGAAACGAAACCGCCCAGCCCTAGTGTCAAGGGGGAACAAAAAAGTGTTGGTCACTTTCTCTCTCTTCTCTCTCTCTACCTTTCTTTCTCTCTTTTGTGAGAAGTGCTAAATGCTCCTGGAGTAGTGGTTCTCAACCTGTGGTCCACGGACCACCAATGGTCTATTAGAACTAAAATATTTTCCATGGCCTCACTATTACTACTACGGATAAGAACACAACCCAACCATTTTTTTTCTTGGTGTCTTTCATTTGTAGGCCTGTTCCTGGGGTTATTTGGGGTGTTGATTCAGAAAATTGCATTGGATAGATCACATCAGCTCTAGATTATTAAACATTGTTTTCTGTGGGCGAACAGATGGTGACTACTGGATGGTATATGTTCTGTATCAGAAACTAGAGCTGATGTGGTCCATCCAATGCAATTTTCTGAATCAGCATCCCAAATAACCAAACCGAATTGTGCAAAGAGACGCTAAGGCCCCTTCCATGCTGGCAGGGACGAGAGACAGGGCCTTCTCTGTGGTGGCCCCCCCGGCTGTGGAAATCCCTCCCTAGGGATATTAGATCAGCCCCCTCCCTCCTGACTTTCCGAAAAAGAGTAAAAACTTGGCTCTTAGAGCAAGCATTCAGAACCCCGGAGTAAACAGACAAACTAGAGTTGGAAAATGACCCAGGAACGGCCAAGTCAATGTAACAGATGAAGATTTGAATGAGAGGACATAGTCTCTTTTTAAATTGTTTATTATGCACTGTTGTTTATGTTTAATTGCCCTTGATGTTTTTGCTTTATCAATGTATGTATTTTGTTTCGGCATCGAATTGTGCCGACTGTGTATACCACCCTGAGTCGCCTTCGGGCTGAAATGGGCGGGATAGAAATAATGTAAACAAACAAATAAATAAATAAATGCTGCCCCTAAATCGCAGGATCTGATCCCAGATTATCTGCTTTAAATATTATATGAGTCTGCAGTGCCAGAAAACCTGGGATAAGCAGATAATCTAGAATCAGATCCTGGGATATAGGGAAAGTGTGGAAGGGCCCTAAATGTCCCCTAAGAGAGCTCTCTGGAGGGCATTTGGTACCTCTGATGGGAACAGGGGGTGGGGGGCATGAAAGACTGAAGTAAGAAAGGAAACCCACCTTCTCTTTCTCCATCTATATAAATAAAAATGTAATATTCGTTTGTTGGATTAACATAAGTCAAAAACCACTGGATGAATTGACACCAAATTTGGAAACAATGCACATATCAGGCCAACGAGTGACCATCACTCATAAAAACACTGAAAAACACAGCGAATGGGACTTAAAAAGCAAAAAAAAAAAATTAAAACACATTACAACGCATGAGCAAAATTACACACACATATATACATGCAAACACACACATATATACACACAAAGCACATATACACAGACTGGGCCACATCAACACGTGGCAGGGGATGGCTAGTGTGTGTGTGTGTGTGTGTATGTATATGGAGCCCCCAGTGGCACAGTGGGTTAAAGCTCTGAGCTGCTGAGCTTGTTAACTGAAAGGTTGCAGGTTCGAATCTGGGGAGCAGCATGAGCTTCCGCTGTCAACCCGAGCTTCTGCCAACCTAGCAGATTGAAAACATGCAAATGTGAGTAGATTAATAGGTACTGCTCCAGCAGGAAGGTAATGGCACTCCATGCAGTCATGCTGGCCGCATGACCTTGGAGATGTCTATGGACAACGCCAGCTCTTCAGCTTAGAAATGGAGATGAACACCATACCCCAGAGTCAGACACGACTGGACTTAATGTCAGGGGGCAATCTTTACTTTTACCTTTACCTATACACACACATATCTATCTCTCTCTTGTGTTCATCTATATTTCAAAGGGGGGATATATTTGTGGGAGGATGAGAAGCCACGTTACCACCTCCTTGGCTGTTTGGCACCAGCGTCCCCTCACTGGTGGCGAGAGCATTGCTAGGGTTGGTATCACCCAGTGTTTACAGTCGTCACCCCCAGCACCGCCTTCCAGTCCAGTATTGGAGCTACAGGACCTATTGGACCTAAAATACCAGAAATTATTTTTTAAAATAAAAAACTAACAACAATAATCATTCTGGGATGTTGTGTGGTTTCTGGGCAGTAAGGCCCTGTTCTAGCAGCATTTTCTCCTGACATTTCCCCTGCAGCTGTGGCGGGCACCTTCAGAGGATCAACTAAAACACAGACAGAGAAGCCCAGAAACCACACAACACCCCAGAACTTCGGGACATGAAAGCCTTCCACAATACATTGAAAGGATGCAGCCCCGATATTATAAATGGAGGCTGTGAAAGACGTCTGAAAAAATGTGTACATTCCTTACCATTTGGAGCCCAGTTGGGGAAACAAACAACCTGTGCAGACCTGCAACTGTTTACACTGACTTCCTTTAGACATTAAGGAAAACATGGTGTTTAGCATATGAGCAAATTAATTGGTCTTGGAGTTACAAATCCAGTGACCTGCGTGTTTTGTGATCTAGCCAATGTGTCCGGAGGGAAAGAGTCACAGTTGATTGACCCTGGCAGGCATATATTGTGCTTTGTTTGCAATAGATTTCTAATTATTGCCTTTCAACTCAATTTATGAATGTACCTGCCAAGATGAGGATGTCCTGGTCACCTGGTTCTCCTCTGGTCTGTTTCCTTTCTCCATTTTTGGGTGGCCACCTCCTAATGATGACCTCATGACCTCTTCTTCTGCCTTGTGTCTGACATAATATGGGATAATACTTACTTACTTAGGCAATCCCTCGTTGTCCAAGTAAGATTGTCTTCTAAGATCGGTATCCTGGCGGTGGGTCCGTAGGTGACTGTGGAGACCTATTCTTGATCTGCATGTTCTCCTACAGAGATGACATTGGTTTCCAGTGGAAGGCAGTCCCAGTCGGGGTTGGCTTGATGTGCCTCCCTCTTGGCATGTTTCTCCCTTTCGCCCTCCATTTGTGCCTCTTCAAATTCTACAGCACTACTGGTCACAGCTGACCTCTAGCTGGAGCGCTCAAAGGCCAGGGCTTCCCAGTTCTCAGTGTCTATGCCAGAGTTTTTAAGGTTAGCTTTGAGCCCATCTTTAAATCTCTTTTCCTGCCCAACAACATTCTGTTTCCCATTCTTGAATTCGGAGTAGAGTAACTGCTTTGGGAAACGGTAGTCGGGCATCCGGACAAGTTGATGGTGGAGGACCATCACTTCAATGCTGGTGGTCTAGTAGTTCTAGTAGTTCTAATAGTTGCATGTGACATCTGTAGATAGTCCATGTCTCGCAGGCATATAGCAGGATTGGGAGGACAATAAACAGACACCTTGGTATCCCTACGAATGTCCCGGTCCTCAAACACTCTGTGCTTCATTTGGAAAAATGCTGCACTCGCAGAGCTCAGGCGGGATATATGGCAGGTCTTTCTGCAGTTCAGACAACTATCCAGCATATCTGTGAACTATAGTAATCCCCTTGTAACTGTAGAACCCATGTTCACCATCTTTCCGCATCTGGAGGGGAAATGGTCTCTATTATTATTATTATTATTATTATTATTATTATTATTATTTACAACATTTCTACCCTGCTCTTCTCAACCCCCCGAGAGGAGGGGACGACTCAGAGTGGCTTACACTGGCAACAATTAAATGCCGCAAATATAACAAAACAGTAAATAGAACAATAAATTAAAAAGAATTAAACATTATTATTACAGTCATGTAGTCATTTCCATTATTATCACAGTCATATTGTCCAATTCGATGTCCAAAGTGCTATCATGCTTGCTGGCCAAAGGCCTGGTTCCAAA